TCCCTCTACTTCAAGGGAGATTCCATATGGAAAATGACACAAGCCAAGGGGGACAGTAACATTTACTTCCCTTTCTTTCTGGGGGTGCCCCAGAGTTAAGAACTAGCCATCAGCTTTGAAAACCAGTGGTCAGCCCATCTCTTCGTGTAACTGTAGCTGTTCCCTGGCCAATTTCTATTCTATTTATGACTACAAAGGTGGCATCTCCCCCTCCTCTTCTAACAGTCATGTTTTTACTGTCTTTCCACACTGGGACTTCAGAGACAGCCTTAATGGTTGCTGCTTTTGGGTGACTCATTGTGAAAATCAAGGCTGTAAGAAACGAGTGCTACTGGAGCAACTGGTGCCCAGGAGAGGGTCACTGCACGAGTGCTCTGGATCCTATGGTCTACTCTGGCCAGCTGCTCTGTAGTCCAGATGGCAAAACACAACTGATGCTAGTCCTTGTGCTCATGTCTGCCTTCCCTACAGCTCCAGAGGTGCTCAGAGCCAAGGCACGGGCTCACTGACAGCGCTGTGGGTACTGCCTTTGGCAGCACAGCTGGTAACATCTGGCACACAGACAGACAGGGCAGTGAGGAGCAGTAAAATTTAAACAGCTTTTGCAGACTTGCCTGGCAACTTGAGAAACCCTGACCTTACTGCTTGGGGCAGACATGTGGCCCTTTGTGCACCCTTCCTATAAAAAAACGGATGATGCTACTTCCTCCTTCCCTTCCCGGACTGTTACAGCTAGGGCTGGCTTAAAAGCAGAATTCCCTTCCCAAAGCCAATTCCACAGCTTCAAAACATGTTTTCATCCCAAAATTGGGCAAAGAAAGCCTGTTCCAGACCTTTTTTTCCACTTGAAAAAAATATTGTAAAATACTTTGTTGAAATGTTCCTTTTTTTTGATGCCTGAGATCTTCTACTTAAAGTCTTTTGTATAAACTTACAGCAAAACATTGACCTCACCGAAATGAAATGTCAGGATCACCCACTGATGGAAATTTTGACACGATCAATAGGTTCCTTTGAAACTGTTCAATTCTGTTCAATCAGCAAACATAAATCAGAGCTAAAACAAAACTCTGACCTTATTGAAACATGCAGTTGTAATAACTCCCATCAGAAGTGTTAACAAATCAGTAGATTCTTGCAAAACACTTGCTGTTTCAACTGCTTTACAACAAGCTATAGGCTGTTAGCAGGTGGCAGGAGTCCCATCCTTGTCACCACACTCTCCCCTCCTCCCTGGTTAGGTGCCCAGCAGGATCAGAGCCAAGCTGGTTCTCTGCAACGTCATCTACTCAGGTGAGTGTGAGCCCAAGAGCCCATCATATCACAGCCAGCCTCTTCCTCCACTGCTACCCACTTCACAGTCAAGCTCACAAGTGCTCTTTATTCTCTGTTGCTTTATCTTCTCCATCAAACCAACGAGCAAGGGACAAAACCAGAAATTCTAAATTTCTCTTCACTCTCCTCATCTTCTGCTGGCACTCAGGTACAAGTGAGCAGCTCTCCATGTCAGATGCTCTGGAGATGCTCACAAAGTCCACCTTCAGCTAAGACCACATGGAGTAAGAGTGCACTGGAGCCTGGCTTAAGGTAAGAGCCCACAGTGGGTCCTTTGGAGAAGCCCCCCTTTCTTCACTGACATTGGACAGAGTTAAGGAATTCCAAGGTCCCCCGCTGAGTTCAGAGAACACTCCACTTTTTGGGTGGTTTTTTTTTAAGCCATCAGCCTCATGGATGCACCTCTGAACTCTTGCTGGATCCCTCCCATGATCACTGCCTTTGGCCATGCCTTGGCTCCAAAGAGCTGCCCACATGACAGATCCAAGATGAGATGAGCCATCAGCATCCCCACTGTGGGGCACAAAGGCACCTTATGGCAGCTCTGCTGTCCCCACCCCATGTCCTGGGGCAGAGGACAGCATGCACAAGCCCTGACTAGGTATGCTCAAGGCTTGCTTCCAGCACTTGCCAGAAGGGAAACCAGGAGGGTACTCCAGCAGCTCCAGCCAGACAAATCAGACCTGGAGGTTACGGTCAATGGACAAAATAAAACAGAGACAGCCTTTCGGGTCACCCGTGAGTCACCATTCATTTGCTACCAAAACCCACAGAAAATCTCTTTTGCAGAGGCTGGGTCTCCATGCCTAGATGTGTGTTTGTGGGGAAGCTTTAGACTTGGAAAAGGAAAACCATGACCAAGAATTAAGCTGGCCTCCAGATATGGCTGCAACAACATAAATCAACACCTTTGGTCATTACCTAACAGACTCCCCAAAGGCAGAAAGGATCTGCATGCCAGGAAAGGACAACCCTGTGTTGTCCCTGCAGAAGCCATGGCAAATACTGACTAACAACTGTGATTACCTCTTGGCTGTTTCTTCCTCAGGCCATGTTTTACAGCTGCTTTCAGTGTTGTAGGGGGACTCAGTTTATCCATTTTTACCTTTTCTCTGATACCAAGCAGCAGCAAAGCCATGAAGGACATGGCCAATCTTGTGACACAACTGAAAACAAAGTTTTCTTGTGTCTAATAGAAAGTTTCATGACGAAATGAGAGAAAGGGAGATGCAAAGAGCAGGATGCTGAAAGACTCACCCACACCAAAAGGAATGACTTCAGTCTTTGAGGTCCTACAGACTCAAGGCCTTGTTGTCTGAAGATAAGGTTACTCTAATAACTTCCATCACAACAGGGACTGAGTTCAGTGCTCAAACAAGAACACCCACATTTTCAAGAACAGTTAAAAATAATATTAAATGGCAGAGGGAGAGAGGGATCTTATTTCCTGAAAATCACATACTCACTCCATCCCTAGGTCTGTCAGGGATTTGTGCTAAGACTGGAAGTTTTAGTGATGGCTGTGTCCAAAAGCATCTTTTCTGGACTGGATTTCACTGTCATTGCTGTGACAACTAGACTGTCCAACAGAGCAGCTGCAATAGCCCTTCTCTGGGGCTTCAAGAGAAAGCTGAACTCACATCCCACTGTACTTGGGGAAGGCCGCACTTCCCAGAAGGAAATTTTTCTGCAACCCATATGCTTTACCCAGGTCACAGCACCACGAGCACTGCTTTGGAATTAGGGACTCAATCCCATCACCACCTCCCTTTGAAGAGGAACTCTCCATCTGCATTTACAGACCAGAGCAAGAAACAGCTGCCTGCTCCCAGCTTCACAGATATTACCTGCAGCCTGAAGCTTGCTGGAGCATCTCTGCCTTGTTTCCCAACTACATCCTGCTCCGTGCTGTACAGTGACACAGGAATGAAACACCAGCCACAGCAGCCACACCAGGATGCACCTGGGGCAGCCACCACTACAGTCGTCTTCCCAACTCTCCACAGTGTGCTGACTCCATTTTGGGCAATTTTCCTTTACCTACCTACGCTTCCATTGAACTCCATGTCACCTTCACAGACAGACCATCTACTCCCTCTATCCTGTTACTCCTCCTTAACATGCTGTCAGGAATTGCTGGTCCTGAAGAGAGATCCTTAATGGTTGGTTCTTAAGAGAGGTGAGCTGAGGACACTAAGTACAGGGCTGCCAGTGGAACAAATCAGACTTACTTTCAGTCCAAAGGGACCATACTTCTCTCTGGGGAAGAAAAGGACATTAACCTGAATTTGTAAATACAGTCCTGGGTTTGGGGTATTTTTTTTTTTTAGAAATTCTTTTTATCTTTGTTGCCACACCCACTTACCCAGACACAGCAAAAAAATGTCTCAGCTGAAAAACTGAATTCATAAAAGAAAGCAAATAATTCTAATGAAAATCCCCCATTCAGTGTTTTAATTAGCAAGATATCCACTAAGCACAACTTTCTAGCCACTAAGCTGTGATGCAGGTCACCCCCCACCTTCGTTTTCACCCTGGTGCAAAGCGTGAGGAAATGCAGTTGGAAGTCCCATACTCAAAACACCAGCTGGATGTTTGCCTCATTTGTGTGAGTGCTACACTCCACTCTTATTTAAAAAGCCAGACAGATCTCAACGGCGTTTGAGGGAAAAAAAAAAAAAAACAGGTGAAGCTTGCAACTTTGCAAGGAGGAATAAGGATAAACGAAAATACTATGATCTGGTTAGAAGTGGAAGCCTTGCTTCCAGGTAGACTTGGGAACATGAGTCTTGCCTTTGCAAGGTGCAGAGGTGGGATGGGCAGCCCAGGAACTTACAGGGTGTCCTCATGCAGGACTCTGTTGCAGTTATGTCCTCGACGGAAATACAGTGTTGCATTTCCATGCCCACATCTATAGGAGGGCACTATAAAAGGCAGGTAAGCATTTGGGTGAGGAGACTGAGTGAAGTGTTGGGGAATAAAAGAAAGAGGTGTGTGTGAGGGATGGGGAGAGCTGCCCAGCCCTGCCCTGCCTGCAGGAGACAGGCAACAACAGGTAGCGGGGCAGAGGAAGGTGCCAGGCAAAGCCATCCCTGCCCCACGGTAAGCACCCAGGAGCCGCTCTCCCTCCAGGCAGAACCAAGAACGGGCCCAGGCACCCAGAGCTCTGAGCAAGCCTCGACTCATCCTTGCAGCCACCCAGGCAAAATTAAAAACAAAGTGGGGAGAGGCAAAGCACCGTGCAGCCCTACACCTGGCCGGGCTGCGGGTACCTGGGGAGAGAGAGGGGTGCTTCTGGAGAAGGCAGGATAAGGATGAGGAGGATGATAAGAAGGAGGAGGATGATAAGAAGGAGGAGGATGAAAAGAAGAAGAATAATAAGAACGAGGAGAAGAATGAGGAGGATTAGGAGAAGATGCAGGAAGAAGAGAAGATGCAAAAGGATGAGAAGATGCAGGAAGATGAGAAGATGAAGGGAGAAGATGAAAGAGGATGAGAAGATGAAGGAGGATGAGAAGGAGAAGGAGGATGAGAAGGAGGATGAGAAGCAGGAGGGGGGAGGGGGGTCTCGGGCTGCCGGCTGCAGCGTGCAACACCGCCGGGTCTGTCATCATCCTCCGGCGGCGGGAGGGCGGGGGAAGGAGGAAGGCGCGGGGCGGCCTCACCTGACGAGATCGAGGAAGGAGTCCACGGTCTCCTTGCTGGTGGGCAGCGCGCCCGGCAGCCCCAGCCCGGGCGTGTTGAGCGCGGAGGCTCCGGCGCCGGGACGGACGATGAAGCCGAGGGCCACGGCGAGGCCGGAGGCGAGCAGCGTGGTGCCCAGGAAATAGGCGATAGCGATGCCTCCCAGGCGGCCGAGCGAGCGGGTGTCCAGGCTGGCGGCGCCCGACACCAGGCTGCAGACCACGAGCGGCAGGATCACCATGCGCAGCATCCGCAGCAGCAGCTCCCCGGGGAAGGCCAGGTAGGCGACCTGCGCGGGGCTCAGCGCCGCGCCGCGCACGGCGGCCCCCAGCGCCACGCCGGCCACCACCCCCGACACCGTCAGCAGCACCAGCGCGTTGCGCCGCAGGAACCCGCGGCAGCCCCGCAGCCAGGCCCCGCCGCCCCGCCGCCCCTCGGCCGCCGGGCCCTCGGCGTGCCCGTTCGGGCCGTAGCCCGCCTTGTCCTCGCCCGCCGCCGCCTCCTCCATGCTCGCGGCGCGGCAACTCCTCGTGTCCCGCTACCGCGCGGCGCTCGCAGGCTCTGACTGAGCGGGCGGGCCCCGCCTGCCGAGGGCCGGGCCGGCGGCGGCGGCGGCCCCGCCCGGGGGAGGAACGGCGGTGACCCCCGGCCCGCCCCGCTGCCGCCCGCTGGGGCCGGGTCCCTACAGCGCCATCGCCGGCCGGCGGGGCGGCACGTCAGCCCAGCGCTCGACCCGCGGGCCCTCGGCCCACACACGGGTGGCGTGAGAGCCCTCCGTGCCCTCAAGGGCCACACGCGTCCTCTCAGTGCCCCCTCCGCGTCCCACACCTCACACGTGCCCCCCTCGTGTCCTCCTTCGGTATCACCGTTGTTCATGCACATCCCCTCATTGTCCTCACAGTTCACATACGTCCCCTCAGCGGCCACCTTGGTGCCCCAAAGCTCACATGTCCCTCCCTCGATGTCCCTCCTCAGTATGCCCATTGTTCATACACGTCCCCTCAGGGTCCCCATAGTTCACACATGTCCCCTCAGTTGCCCCCTTGGTGTCTCAGAGCTCACATGTGTCCCCCCAGTGTCCCATGGTTTACACAGATCCCCATCAGTGTCCCAAAACTCACACGTGTCCCCTCAGTTTCCCCCCTCCATATCCCCACCATTCATACACATCCCCTCAGGATCCCCATAGTTCACACATGTCCCCTCAGTTCCCCTCTCGGTGTCCCAGAGCTCACATATGTCCCCCAGTGTCCCCAAAGTCGATACACATCCCTGTCAGTGTCTCCACAGCTCACATATGTCTCTTCAGTGTCCCACTCAGTGTCCCCATGGCTCACACGCTTTCCTCTAGTGTTCCCCTCAGCATCCCCATGTTTCATACGCATCCCCTCAGGATCCCCGTAGTTCACACATGCCCCCTCAGTGTCCCTACAGCTCACACATGTTTCCTTAGTGGCCCCATGGTTCAATCACGTCCCCTCCATGTCCCCGTGGTTTACACACATCCCCATCAGTGTCCTCACAGCCATAATGTCTCTTCAGTGTTCCCCTCAGTGCCTCACAGCTCATACATGTCCCCATCCCCAGTGGAGTTCACATATCTTGACGGTATCCCTCTCTCTCTCCAGGAACCTCTCATCAAGGCAGGAGCCACCCCAGGACAGGTTGTGGTGTTCCTGGTCATCAGTGGTACGAACACATGGACTCTGAGCATGCTTCCTTGAGGAACCGGGCTACAACCCAGTCTGATCACACGAGCAGGTTCTCTGAGGAGCAAATGATGTCTCTGGTGATACGAGGGGCTGACAAAAAGGGCACCTGGGGCTTTCAAATCTGCGGGAGCCCCAGGGGTGTGCTACTGTCATGTTTGCTCACAGAGCCACTTCCATGAGCTCCAGCCAATGTTTGGACTCGAGCAGGGGCTCCATTTCAGTTCATTCCCTTGACATCAGCAAAGCACAGCCTAGCAGAAAACATGCTGTGAAAACAATCAGCCACACATCTGCTTTTCAAGTAGACTGCACTAATTAAAGAGACTGACAGGGTGTGATGGGACAATAATCCTGATTTAATAAGACTCTTTTCTGCTTTCCAATCTCATGGATAGACCTGAAAATTGCTACACCATGGCTGGAACTCCTGAGAATTGTTCATGTGTAAATAGATAACAACACCACCAACAAGCAATTGTGTTTGCCACCATCCACTTCAGAGCTTGATGCAAAGTCTTGACTTGCAGCTTGCTCTTGCACTGAAATTTGACTCAAGATACTCAGCCATTTTTTTTCCTCTGATAACTTTCCCTATGAGTAAGACTTGGCTTGTGGAAGTCTGGGAATGACTGTTCCATCAAATTAGAATAAGCAGAGATAGGAAACAGAGACTAAACTAAACAAGAAAACAAGCATCTGCAAATGCTTCTAAAGACATTCAGTTCCACAAACCTCAAAAGTAACAAAAAAGCTTTGTAGATCTTTTAAAATCAGGTTTGGGTCTTTTTCTGCAAATATGTTTGTTAATAATAAAAAAGTAACCACCCAACATAACTGTTTCTTTCTCCATTAGAGGCATTACTAAAACGGATTTTTAATTAATATTTTGACAGCATTCCTTGTGAAAATGTCATGCTTCTTTTTTTTCCTTGTATTTTTCCCTGCTGTTCTTTCTTGGTCTCACTCTTTTTTCTTTCCATTTACCCATGAAAAGGGAAAAGAAAGGGGGAAATGAAACAACAACAGGAAATTGTAAAACAAATACATGAATATAAAGTCTTTATTCTCTGTTTCAGTTGAGAAAAGACTCTAAAACACAAACAACAAACACAAACAAATTCCCATATGCAAAATGAAAGCAAAGGAAGAAATTCAGGAAAGAGTGAACAAGAGGAACATATTAAATTGGAAAACTCATTTGTAGCAGCACATGTATGAGACCAGCACAAGAGTTAACATAGAACCTTTTCCACTGTATGAAATGACAGTAGACTCCTTCTCTCTTGGAAAGAGACCGTGACCTTTTGGGACTGACTTTGCTGAGAGCAGTGCCATGAGAACAGACGGGTGACCTGAAGGAACACACACTCCAAAATCGCAGGTCCCAGTGAATGTTTTTTAACACATGCTAAGGATGTTTGGTGATAGACAACCCTTCAAGAAGAACACTTTGACAAAGGGATGCTTGTGTCAAGCTTTCTGGTCAATGACACCATGACAATTCAGACTCCCAGTTTCCCCTTCCTTTATTTCCCCCCTTCTGATTTCCTGATTCAAACACTGATCCAAACAGTTTTCCTTCTTTTCGTGACATATCTTGAAATCAGAATGGCTTTATCAAGAAGAAGACAAGAGAGCACATGAACCTCCCACCATACAAATGGACATCATCCCAAAGACATTGTAGGCAAAGCTAACTGTTTTTCCACATGCTGTGAGAGTTCATGGATGGATGCAGTGATTAACCCCAAAGCCCAGTGGCTTATTCAGTAGTAATCGTTGACTGATCCATTGTGTCATGTTTTCATTTCAGCGCTTGTAGATCTTGGGAGCTTTCCAGTGAGTGAGTCTGCATGTTTCCAGTGTCCACCCTGCTGGTGCTTCTAAATCAGGGATTTCGACTTTTTCTATTGCAACTTGAAGGTTCTTTTTTTATCTTAAGTGGCTTTCACCTTCACAGGGCTTAGAATGCTTCCTCCGGAAATCAGAAGAGAGATCAAAACCAAACAAAAAAACCAACAAAAAGCAACCACTGAAAAAAAAATCCAGTTCCTTTTAAATAAAATGTTTAAAAAATCCTTTTGCTTTATGTGAGGAAATAGCCAGTACAGTTTTCACCACTGGCCCAGGAAGGAATGGTCATGCTGATGTCCAGTCAAGTTCTGCTTGATATCAATTTCTGATGGTAAGCATTTGAAATTTCAGCCTCAGTAGAAGGAATGAAAAAATCTTGATGGCTGTAAGGGAATCATATCCTTCTTCTTTGTGTTTCATCACCAAGCAACCAGAGTGCAGGATTTAATTTGAGCCATTTTCCTCAGAAATGTTCCTGCTTTGTTGAGGGAAGTTGACAGTCAGACCTCTCAGAGCAAAAGCTTACATGTCCTTTTTCCTACTACTCATCCATTCCCACTGTTAAATTTTAGCAAAGTCTTGCTGCACATCCATGGGATAGACACTTAAAATAGGATATCTGTAATCTTGCTGTTGCCTTCTGTTAACATAATGTCTAATTCTAATGCCCCAAGGAAACAGAGGTGATGGTTTTCCACACCTGCGGGAGGTCCATACAAAGTCTGAGAGAAATCAGATCTGAATTTCTTTGCTAGAGAAGGAGAGGAAGGCTTTCAAAGAGCTGTTTGCAGCTCTGTGAGTCTCACATCTGCTACATGCTCAGTTGACACAGGTCAGAGTAGCCCTCAGGTCACATTTCCTACAAAACCACATAGCAGCAAGAGTGCAGAGAACACTCACCATGCCACCTCCCTTTCCTCTGTCTTCCTGACTCTATTTCCCTCTTCGTAAGACTGACAAGGTCATCTGCAGCTTTCAGGAGCTTCCTTGGGTCTGGGTGCCGTTTATCCTCTGTTCTTGGGAGACCTAACTCCTGTAGGTTTAGAGAGAAGACATCAATCAGCCCACGTGCCATGACTGGCACATGGTTTGAAGTAGTTTGAAGACTGATCCCTCAAAGTCATGGTGGGGGAGGAGGGAGCAAGATGAAAGGGAAAAGGGCAGAAGGACATTGTGTTTTATATTTGTGTTTTTCAAGAGAAGCTCGAATAAAGATGCTCCCAAACATCCAAATGGAGATGTTCTGGGCAGCCTGCAGTGTCCTAAGGGGCTGTAATACAGAGTGGCCTTTTTCTGAGGAGAATTCAGGAAAAGCACATGGGAGAGTGCTTGTTTTCTACCGAGCAAAATGAAGTCCTCAGAAGAGCCACGGCACGCTAGCTGAGGTGGGAAGGCCTAGAGCACTTCCTTGGTATGCAGACTTTAGCTTGGCAAGAAGACTTGTTGGGCCTGGGATGCCAAGCAATTTGGATGGACTCCAGCCCCATCGCAGAAATGTTCTCCGCCTGCCTCTGGGAGGAACACGAGATGTGTTCCTCAGCTCTTCCTGGTGCCTCTGACCTGCTCACCCCATCCATTGCAAGCTGGATGCAGGACCAGCCACCCACACACAGTCATCTGGACTTGTCAGAATGAGCCAGATTTCAAGACATTAAAAACCACAGAAGGAAACCCCCCAGTCCCAGAGTGATGATGGATTCAAAGAGTATTCCTCAGGTCCTGTTTCATGTAGGTTCCTGACTAGCAACTGAAATAACCCAGTCCCAAATACAAGCCTACCACAGTGTCACATGTTAATTCAATGTCTTTCCAGACTGGGTAAATTCTCACATCTGATCAAAAATATTCTGAGGATGAAAAGAAAAGGCCTTTGTAAATGCGTTTTCTAATAGCAGAGGCAGGCAAGGAATTCTGCAAATACCACTTGCTTGCCCAAACTCCAACAACATATAAACTGCAGACAGGG